ATAGATATGTACTATGAGGTGAAGTTACAGAAAGAGCTCACCTTTACTCAGGTCTGAGATGAAATGAGATACTCTGTGGAGTTGATGATCCTCAAGATATCTTTCTTCCTTGTTAGAGCTCAATCTTGTATTTGCTTCTCTAGGGTGTGTTGGAATACTCATTCTTGTTCTAATCTTTTTCATGAATGCTAGTTTGGTAATTTATAGACAACTTCAGGGGACATGGCTAAGTTTCTTCAACTTATTCAAACACCATTCTTGTATAGTATCGCTACAGGACTTTTCTACCCTTAGTCTGAAGCCTTTAATTGAGACTGATTATTTTTATTTTTTTGATTTTATTTATACAGTTTTAGGGGTATAGGAACTCCAGAACTATTAAGGTACAGGATGGAGTCATCTGGAAAGAATTTGCAGACTCAAGTAGTCTGCCAGTCAAATGGCAAAAGTTTATTGTAACACTATATAGTGGACAAGATTTCTTAGGGAACCTGCAACCTAAAAGGGGTGCAATTGTAGTTTATATAGGAAAAATTACAGTAAAGTATGTGTCAAATATGTTAATTAGGTATTTCAGGGTGGGATTAGGGAGTGGTTAGGCAGTAGTCAATTCTTAAATTTAAATTCTTAAAATCATCTACTTCACAGATGGTTTGCCCAGAGTTCATGGTGGGAGGAGGGGTGTCATTGAAAGATAGGGCTTTTATGCCTGCAATGTCATTAAGTCAACTAATGATTAGGTCCATCCTGTCTGTTACCAGTAGTCACCTGGAAGGGATTCTTGGACCCTAGCAGCCTTCTAGTCAAGTGGCAGAAAGTTTATTGTAACTCTAATAAAGTGGGTGAAGCTCCTTAGGGAACTCAAAACTTAATGGGGGTGATGCTAAAGCTTATATAGAAAAAGTTCAGGGGGCAGCTAAGTGGTATAGTGGATAGAGCACTGGCCCTAGAGTCAGGAGGACCTGAGTTAGAATCTGGCCTCAGACACATGATACAATTGCCTGCCTCCCCCCCCTCCAAAAAAAAAAAAGAAAAAAAAGAAAAGAAAGAAAAAAGTTCAGTGAAATATGCTAATTAAGTCATGACATACATTTTCTGTACCCTGGGCACTACCGGAAAGCAGGGGGAGAGGTGAGGGCTTCTAAGGAGTGTGTTTTTGGTCTTCAATGGCTATAGCTTGACCTCTGGATTGTACAGAGTAACTGTGGGAATCAGTACATGATAATTCTGCTGGTATAAGATAGTCCTGTTCATACAAGGGAAATTCTACAGAGATCAGCTTGTTCTCGTAACAAAGAGAAATAGTTTGCCTCTCCAGAGCCCACTCATAAGTTATTGCCAGAGATAGGGTCTTTGGGATGGGGAGAGATGTCCTAGGGCTGGGGTCCAAGCATAAACACTCCATAATTAGGATTGAGTAAATCAGTCACTCCACCCTTAAAATTGTGTGGAATGAATAATCAGATTTGTTGATCAGTCTATCAACAGCATTTATTGTCTATAATATTCCAGGAACAGGACTTCTTGCTGAGGATACAAAGACAACAACAAAAGTCCTTGTCCTTAAAGAGTTTCTATTCTATTGGGGTAATAACACCAAAAAAGTTAAGCATAAACACAATATATACAAAATAAATATAATGAAAAAAGTGGAAGGGGGAAGGCACTTGGAAGCTCTGTGGATTAGAGAGTCTTCATATTGATCTCCTTTAAGCGGAGTTTTAAAGGAAACAAATGATTCTAACAAGGTAAAAGAGAAACGCAAACGTGCAAAAATTGTCATGTGTGAGAAACAACAATTAGGCCAGATTGTCTGGATGTCAAATATGGGAAGGAAGAGTAATAGTAAAGTAGTTGGAAAGGTAAATTGGGGCCAGGTTATGAAATGCTTAAATGTTAAACAGAAGAGTTTATACTAGATTCTAGAGACAAAGAGGAGTCATTGCAATTAATTGAGTAGAGGAGTGATATGATTAGCCCACTGTATGGAAGAGGAATAGAAAGGAGGGATACTTAGAGCAGTTAGGAAGACTATTGTAGTTCAGGCAATAAGTGATGAGGACCTAGCCTGGGGTGACAGTCATATGTGTAGAGAGAAGAAAAATGTGAGATATTGTGGAGGTAAAAATAACAAGATTTGGCAACTGACAGGTTATATTGAGTAAAGAAAGTGAGAAGTCAGAAATAATGCCAAGGTTGTAAACTTGTATGCTTCAAAGGATCATGGTTTCCTTGACAGAATCAGGGAAATTTGAAGTGTGGCAATTGGGTTTTGAGGGAAAGAATGAGTCTAGTTTCAGATGCTTATGGGACTTCAGTAGAAAAATCCAGTAGAGAGTTTGAGATGTGATTGGTCTCAGTAGAGAGACCTGGGCTATGTGTATAGCTTTGTAAGTCATTTGCATAGAGATGATAAAGAAACCCACACGAACTCATTATTTCATCAAATGAAAGTGTAGAGAGGAAAATGTAGAATAGAGCCTTGGGTACAACCACTGTTGTGGGGTATAATATGGAATATGAACTTGTAAAGAAGATTGAAAAGGAATGGTCAGACAGGTAGGAGGAGAAGCAAGAGAGAACAGTATTATGAGAACCCAAAGAATAGAGAATATCTAGGAAGAAGAGGTTGATGAACAGTTTCAGATGCTTCAGAGAGGTCAGGAGGGATAAGGATGGAGAAAAGATTGTTAGATTTATCAGTTTAAAAAATGAGTGGTTACTTTGGGGAGAGAGCAGTTTCATTTGGAAGAAGTGATTATTCAGACCCTGTATTTGATTAACTTTTTAAAAAAAATAAACTTTCATTATGTCTTCTGTTTCTTATTATCATCATTGTTATCTCCAGCATCCCTTCCCCTATGCTTCCGGAGAGCCATCCAGTATTACAAAGAGTATTTTTTAGAGAGGAAAAAAAAATCAGCACAATTGATCAATACATCGAAGAAGTCTGAAAAACCTGTGCAATGTGTAATACCTGTGGACCTCCTACCACCACAAAGGAGTGGGTTAGGGATATCCTTTCATGTTTCTTCATTTGAATCCTGTTTGATCTTTATAATTTTGGAACATTCAGTTTTAATTTTTTGATGTGTAGGTTTTTACACTGTTGCAGTTATGTTATATATTATTTTCTTGGCTTTGCTTACTTCACTCCGTATTGTTCATATAGATATTTCCATGCTTCTCTTCATCACATTTTGTATGTGTATTCATCACTCACATCATTTCTTATGACGCAATAAATATTCTATCACATTCATAATTTGTTTAGTCATTTCTCCCATTTATGGGCATTTTCTTAGATTCCACTTTTTTGCTATCACAAAAAAATGCTGCTATAAATATTTTGTGAACATGGGGATTTTCTTCTTTATCAATGGCTTGCTTGGGGTCTAAGCCCAGTAATGGAATATGTGGGTCAAAGGGTATGGGTATTTTAGTCATGTGCTTTCCAAAATGGTTGTACCATTTTACAACTCCACCAGTAGGGCATTAGTGTGCCTACTATGCCATGACCATCCCCTCCCACATTGAACATTGCCATTTTTTGTCATTTTTGCCAATTTGCAGGGCTTGAGGTTTTGATCAGTATTATTCTGATGTGCAATTCTCTTATCGTTAGTGATGTGGAGCCTTTTTTCATGTTGTGAATATTTTGTAATTCTTTTGAGAACTGTTCATATCCTTTGATCATTGTTTTAATGCCTTTTCCCCCCTTTCCTTTTAATGTCTAGTTTACTGGGTAGCAGGATTTATTTGGGGGAGATGTAAAAATAGAAGATACCAAAATATTTTTTAAAATGATCTTGCAGTAGTTCCTCAGCACACAATAAGTAAGGCAGAGGAGGCAATCTAAAGCATTCTGGGGAAGTGGGTTTGAGATGTTAAAAGTAATGGTAGATAATTCATAGGTTGATAGCAAATTATGTCTGTATTGTAATGAATGGTCATGATCACAGAATAACTGCTTTTAAATAATGTGGATTATTCCAAGTTTTCCTGGGTAAGTTATTCCTGGATATAAGCCTAGATTTTTTGACTTCTAGAGTATCACATTCCAGGCAATGCCACATTCCTGCTTCTTTATGGTGGTGGCTGCTGAATCTTGTGTGATCTTGACTTAGTATTTGAATTTTTTCTTTTTGGTTGCTTGAAGCATTTTTTTCTTTGACCAGGACTTCGTTATAATATGTTTGGGAGTTTTCATTTTGAGGTTTTTCTTTCAAGAGGTGAATGGTGGATTCTTTTGATTTCTATTTTGCCTTGTGGTTTTAAGATATCTGGGCAGTTTTCGTTTAAGATATGTTGAAATATTATGTCTAGGGTTGCTGGGAGCTCCTGCGTCCCTGGCTGTGGTATGATGCCGGCAGAGTGTGAAGAGAGAAAGAATCACGGGCCAGGTGAGAGCAGTGAAGAACAAACTCTATTTATTGATCTGAGGGCTCAGGCTTACATAGTACTGGATCAAGCAATAGTAACATTGTTATTCATGAAAAGTACAAATCTAATTAGGTGATTTCCTTACTTCCTTGTACCTTGTCTGTTACATTCTTTCCTGCATCCTGTCCCGTACCCCATCTGTTTCTTCCCTTCCTGCATCCTGTTTTCAAGAGACAGAACAGGGGGGTGGTGAGCCGACATCCTGAGTTTCACAGCTGTCAGGCTTAGTACAAGCTGCAGGTTAGACCCAGGCTGGCCTAAGCCTTCCAACTCCCCAAAGCCGGCCCTCTACATCTCCCTCTTTCTTCTGTTCTAGCTTGAGAACATGGGATACACATCAGGAGAAAACTCAAGAGTAACAAGAATACTATCAAGGTACAAAATGCAACAGCAAACTTGAAATATTCTGGAAAGTGTTATAAACAATATCTTGAGGATCAGTACCATCCATGTTATATTTTTGGAATGCCAAGCGCCCTGAAACTTATTCAATATTTGATCAGAAGTTACCTTGGTACTATTAGAAAGCAAATGGGGAGTCACACAAACAAAGTATAGTGGTCAAGTTACAGGTTTAACCCAAGGTGGGGTAAGGCATATAAGTCCAATGTAATCATGACTCCATCATGGAGCCATCTGCGACAGTCATCATTGCAAAAAAGGACAGTCAACATCTTATTATTGGCTCTTCATCTTCTCAGTCTCGCCTTCCTCCTCTGCTTGTCTCTCTGACGAGTTTTTCCCTTGATGCTCAGGTCTCTGTCCCTCTTGTCAGTATGCTGACAGGTACGGATGTTCCTCTCAGGAACCCAGACTGGTTCTCCTCCATGTTCTGGAAAAACACAAGCATAACCTCGACCCCAGGTTAGTAATTTTACTGGACCATCCCAATTACCTGTCTTTGGATCCTTCCACATTACTGTGACATCTGGTTGCTCATCTAACAACCTGTTCTTTTGCCCTGCAAAATGTTTTTGTGCAGGAGTACGTCCCTAATCATCTAGTGTCAAAAAATTTATGGTATATATTACCTGATCCAATCTCCTTCTTACCCTATTTTCTATTCCCTCTTTTTTCTGTTTATCAAGGAGGATTTTAATATCCTTGTTGCGCCTTTCAACAATGGCTTGTCCAGTAGGATTGTACGGGGATGCCAGTAGAATGAGTGATATTATAGGTGAGACAAAATTGTGCAAAATTCCTGCTAGTATAGGCAGGAGCATTGTCAGTCTTGAGGTATCTTGGAATACCAAGAATTACTAAAGCAAAACAATCATGGGATTGTTGAGCTTCGAGTAGGGAAAAAGAAAAGGTAATTATTTTATCTGCTACGGAGTTGCCTTCTATTATAGGACCTGGGAGAGAAGTATGAGCAGGAACATGCATGCAAAAAAGAGGATGGGTACGTTCTCTTATTGTATTTTGTAATTCGTGAAAAAGCTGAAAAATAGAGAGGTTAGTGGAGTATTTTAACTGTGCAGTTTCTGTGGAGTTAATTACATAAACAGCATACTTGCTATCAGAGAGGACAATTGTATTGCTTTATAACTTCAATAATTGCAAAAATCTCATTTTGTTGAGTAGACTGGAATGGAGTATTAATAATCCCTTTAATGTCAGGAGGGCAGTAATAAGCCGCGGTGCCATTCTTAGTGGCATCAGTAAAGACAGTTAATGCCTTGGGCAGTGGCTGATTTTGTACAATCCGAGGGAATATCCACTTATAAGGTGTCATGAATTGAAAGATTTTTTGTGTAAAAACGTTACCCATACACCCTTGATATATTGATAACACCACCTGCCAGGAAGGGTCATTACTTACCAACATGTCAATCTGCTCCTGAGTATATGGTTGGTGGATCACCTGAGGAAGGTGTCCACTGATGGCGAGTGCTCTTTTTAGCGCCTTTGATAGAAGTTGCACTACAAGCTGTGCATAAGGGGTTACAGACCTTTTGGTTTGGAATGGCAGGAATACCCACTCTAAGATCCCTGCTTGCTGATGTATGGCTCCAAAAGGAATCTCTGGAGTTGGCAGGATGGTTATTTCAATAAGAAGACCCTTTTCTATTCTTTGGGTTCTACATTGTTCAATTGCAGATTCCACCTTTGAAGTTGTATATTTGCTTCTGGAGTTAATTGTCTTGGGGAATTAAGATTAGGATCTCCTCGGAGTATCTTAAAAAGTTCCCCTAGCTCATGAGTTCCTATTCCCAAATGAGGTCGAAGCCAATTAATATCTCCCAGTAATTTTTGAAAATCATTCAGGGATTTTAATTGATCCCTTCTTATTATGACCTTTTGTGGTTTAATTTCTGTCTGCTCTACTGTTTGTCCTAAATATGAAAAGGGTGGAGAAAGTTGTATTTTGTCTGGTGCTACAACTAATCCTTGATCTTCTAATGCCTTAGTCATAGTCCTCAAAATCGTTTCTAATACTCCAGCATCTGGGTGAGAGCATAAAATATCATCCATATAATGTATAATATAGGCCTGTGGAAAGCAGTCTCTAACTGGTTGGATGACTGCTGCTACAAATTGCTGACAAATGGTGGGACTATTTTTCATCCCTTGGGGGAGAACCTTCCATTGATATCTCCTATGTGGGGCTCTTAAGTTTATTGAAAGTAATGAAAATGCAAAGTATGGTCTGTCCTCTGGTTGTAGCAGGATAGTATAGAAGCAGTCCTTCAGATCTATTATCCATAAGGGCCATCCTTTCAGTATCATATTGGGAGAGGGCAAGCCTGGTTGAAGGCTGCCCATATCTTGCATTCTATCATTTATGCATCTAAGATCAGTCAACATTCTCCATTTTCCTGATTTCTTTTTTATAGCAAAAATAGGTGAGTTCCACGGACTATTAGATGGCTCAATATGGCCGGCCTCTAACTGTTCTTTTACTATTTCAGTCAGGGCAGTTAGCTTTTCTTGAGATAGGGGCCACTGTTCCACCCATATGGGAGGTCCCTCCTTCCAAATTATTCGAGGGGTCCTCTGTCTCTTGTCTTTCTCAACAGTGACCCCTAGTGAAAACCCTGCCATATAGATTGTATGGATACCCCCATCTCCTGAAGTATATCTCGCCCCCAAAGATTTATTGGCGGATTTTTAAGGACATAAGGCCGAAATTTTCCTACCATCCCTTCTACTTGCCACAAGAACCATTGAGCACTCTGTTGTGGCATCGTTACAGTCCCTACCCTTGAAGAGGCATCTCTGTTTGGTTTAAAGGCCATGTCTGAGGCCACTGTATTCCAGCAATAACGGACTTATCAGCTCCAGTATCTATTAATCCTTCAAAAATTTTTCCTTCAATAATTAGTCTTAATGTGGGGCGACTATCAGTAATTGTTTGTGCCCAAAAGGCTTCTCTACCTGTACTACCAAACCCTTACGCTCCCCTGACTTTGTTTTTACTACTACTTGTGTTCATGTAGGGAATAATTATTAACTGTGCAATCCTTTCTCCCTTGGTTAGCAAAAGAGGTTTAGGGTACAGAGAATATAGAAGAACGTGAATTTCTCCGGTGTAATCAGAATCCACAACTCCTGGTAATATTACAAGTCCTTTTAGAGAAGAAGAGCTACGGCCAAGAATGAGTCCCATGGTCCCTTGAGGGATAGGGCCAAAGATACCAGTAGGTAGCGAACAGACTCCCATGGATGTAGTTATAGAATAGGAACATGCAGTAGGGAGATCAAGACCCGCACTACCTGGAGTAGCATGACACAGTTCTTTTATTGTGGTTGGGTTGGCATGGGAACCGGAGGAATCAGGGATAATGCTGCTCCCATTGTTTGTTGGGGCCGGAGCAAGCCCCAGGAGGCGTTTCCCAAAAGTGAATTGCCCTCTGTATCTGTATTGGAGCGACACTCATTAGCCCAATGTTTGCCCTTTTGACACCTAGGACAGACCTGTGAAGGTGATCGAGAGTTTTGTGCCTGGGGCTGACTTATGGGGGCTTTGCAATCTTTTTTCATGTGACCCTGTTTCCCACAATTATAACAGCGGCGATTTTTGCTGCCTTGAGGTATTGTTAATGCCGCAGCAAAAGATTCTGCTAAGAAGGCCATTGTCCCTACGTTCTGGCACCTTTTTATCATCTCTACAATTGGTATGTCATCCCTTGTTCCAGCTAAGCACTTTCTACAGTCAATGTTAGCATTATCTTTAGCTAATCTTTGCAACAGGATGGAAGCTGCCTCAGAGTTGCTGACACTTCTTTGAATAGCTAATGTCAGCCGAGCAACAAAGTCAGAAAAAGGTTCTTGAGGCCCTTGAACAAGCTTTGTATAAGAAGTGGAGCGATTGGTTTTCCCATGCTGCACGAGCACACTGCATAATTTGCTCATAGGCATGTAAGTCATAATTTAATTGATCTCTTAATTCTGAATATTGCCCAGTGCCAGTTAATTGTTCAAAAGTTATGTGTACACCTTGTCGATGATTCTGTCTAGCCTTTTCCTGACATAATTCACAAAACTCTGATTTCCAGATTAAATAATCACCTCCTTCCATTACTGTCGTGTCAAAGTCTGCCAATCCTGAGGAGCTAAAGCAGTTCGGGAAATGCTCTCCACTAGTGAAAGCACGTAGGGACAGTTAGCTCCATATTCATGTGCCCCATGTTTCAATTCTTTTAGCAATTTTAGATCAAAAGAATGATGTTCTCTAACAACCCCTCCATTGGGATTTGCTGTTTCTATAACAGGCAAAGCAATCTGTAGCTCTATAGGGACCTCTTGTCCTGTTGCTTGAGCCTTTCTTACAGCTCTGGTCACAATGTCCTCCTCCTCTAGACAAGGATTTAACCGGGATGAATACTGTGGAGGAGCTGTAGGGTATGGAGATTGTGAGGGGGGCCTTGAAACTTTAGCTACCTCATCACTTACTTTATTCTTAGCTTCTGTTTTCCTTAACATTTTTGCCACTTCTTCCTCCCCTGTGGTGCCACAAGAGGCTTCTACCTTAATTGCTTTTGTGGACAGAGGCACCTCTTCAGATTTTTGGAGACATATTTTAAGTATGCTCCAAGTTGAGAAAGTGGACGCTGGAAAAACACCAGGTCCGCATTCTTGATAATATTCACGTAATTGTTTACCTACTATTTTCCATTTTTCTATATCTACTGTCCCTTCTTTGGGAAACCAAGGACAGCATTTTTCCATTGTGTCTAAAAATTCATCCAGCTGTCCAGAAGTGATCAGCAATCCCCTGTCTCTTAATAATGATTCGAACATTTTCAAATAATATCCTCTGTCTTTCTGTTCTGCCGAGTAGCTCTGCCCCATATTAGCTAACTCTTTTATAGGATGCTACTTAGCCGGTGCGGTTTGCTTTCCCTTTAAATCTGAGACCCCGATAAGCTGCAGTCTCGTTCTGATGTTCACTTTAAGAGACCCCAATAAGCGGAAGTCTGGTTTCTTTTTAATCCCTGCTTAACTGGTGAAAATAAAAAACTGTATAGGAAAATTATCGCCCTACCTTGTTAGCGTCTTCTCTTGACGCCCGGAGCTCCTTTTCTAGGGCTGTTGGCCAAACAGCCCACCTTGTCCAGGGCCACTCTGCCGGGGGAAGCCTTCCTTTCAGGTCCCTGTCTAGGCGCCAAATGCCGGGAGCGCCTGCGTCCCGGCTGTGGTATGATGCCGGCAGAGTGTGAAGAGAGAAAGAATCACGGGCCAGGTGAGAGCAGTGAAGAACAAACTCTATTTATTGATCTGAGGGCTCAGGCTTATATAGTACTGGATCAAGCAATAGTAACATTGTTATTCATGAGCAGTACAAATCTAATTAGGTGATTTCCTTACTTCCTTGTACCTTGTCTGTTACATTCTTTCTTGCATCCTGTCCCGTACCCCATCCGTTTCTCCCTTCCTGCATCCTGTTTCAAGAGACAGAACAGGGGGGTGGTGAGCCGACATCCTGAGTTTCACAGCTGTCAGGCTTAGTGCAAGCTGCAGGTTAGACCCAGGCTGGCCTAAGCCTTCCAACTCCCCAAAGGCGGCCCTCTACATAGGGATTTTCGTCGTCTTCTTTTTCTTCGTGGTTTTGTGGTAATCTAATGATTTTTAACTTATCCATCCTTGATCTGTTTTCCAGGTCAGTTATTTTTGCCATGAGATACTTCAATTTTCTTCCTTTTTTCCCTTTCATCTCTTGACTTTGTCTTAATATTTCTTGATTTCTCATGAAGTCATTAGCTTCTATTTGATCTGTTCTGATTTTCATACGGTTATTAACTTGCATGAGTTTTTTTGTACCTATTGTTCCAAGCCATTAATTGTCTTATCTTTCTTCCATTGCTCTCATCCCTTTTCCCATTTTTTTCTTCTATAGCTCTCATTTGGTTTTTAAAATCTTTTTTTAAAAGCTCTTTTTAAAACTCTTCATTAGCTTTTCAGGAATTCTAGTTGGATTTGTGCCCAAGCTGCATTTTTCTTTCAGGCTTTGTCTGTACATATTTTCCAAGTCATTCTCTTCTTCTAGGTTGTCTTGAGCTTCCCCTGTTGTCATAATAGCTCTTTATGGTGCATTTCTTTTTCTTTTTCTCATTTTTTTGCTCATTCTTCCAGCCTGCTTCTTGACTTTGACCTTCGTGTTAAGACTGGATTCTATGTATTTCTTTGTGTAATGTATGGGCTGAGCCTTTGTCTTCTTGATTCTTTCTACTGCTTTCTTTGAGAATTGAATATTCTGTTATTTCAGGATCTCAGAGACCGCTCAGTTTGGTGATCCACAAGATTTCAGTGCTCCCAAAGTGATGAGATCTGGGATGGTCTGCTTACTGCCTTACTGATTTGAGTTCTATGAATTTTTGACGCAGATTTGGATCTGAACAAAACCTCTAGTAGCTTGTCCTCAATTGGAAGTTTTTCGTAAATTACTGTTTGACTTAGGCACTGTTAGCCCACTGGGAATTTCTGTTGGTTCAGAGTGACCCCAAACTGCAGACACTCCTTTGGTTTGAGATTCCTGCCCTGGTTATTCTGCTGGGAGTTTTAGCCTGGACTAAATGCTTGAACTGAGTCCTTGCTCTGCTTCTGAGATCAGAGACACAGCTGCTTTTTGCTTCTGAAATTGTTGCTTCTCAGAACACTACTAGAGTCTCAGCCGTTTTTCTTCATCACTCCTGGAAACATATCCTCTCTGTAGTCGGCCCTGGGTTTGTGACCTGGGACTGGATAATGAATGACAGAACTTCCAGATAGTACCCATTTTTGTACCCTGCACTAATTCAGGGATACCCTGGCACCTTTTGCTGTTCTTGTACTTTCTGCTTTGGTGCCCAGTCTTGGCCCTCTTTCTGTCCCTGGGTGTTGGAATGCTCTGTGCATGATTTGCTTCTGGACAGAAACCATCTCTACTGCCAACAGACTTCGCTGTCTCCCTAAGCTGACCTGGGAAGGAAAAAATGACTCATGATGATTTTTTTTCTTGGATTTCCTGATAAAAATTCTCTAGTCTTCTAGATATATGTAGAGGAGATGTGGCTGGGGAGTCAAGCTGTACTTCTTCCTGCTATTTCACCATCTTGACTCTTTCTCTTAATTGTTACATTTGATCTCTGTTTTTCTTGGAGTTTGCAGTATAAAGTCCCCCCCCCCCTTCTTTCTGGAGATGACCTGTGGATTCTTTTAATTGGTACTTTGTTTTCTGTGTTCAGAAGTTCTGGGCAGTTTTCTTGTGTTGTTTCTTGGATTATGATGTTCAGCTTTTTTGCTTGATATGTTCTTCCAGGAGACTGATAATTCTTAGATTATCTCTCTGTATCCTGTCTTTGATATTAATATGTTTTGTCTGTATAACAATTGTGTTTTTCTTTTTAATGTTGTTGATATTGCTTCTCTTCTTCCAGCTTGTCCTTTATTTTTTGTGTATTTGTACTCCCAATCATTTGTTCTTCTTTTGTATCTTTGATGAAGAGTGCCATTATAGATTTCAGTTTTTCTATTCTGCAAATTATTATTGCAGTATAAGCCATAAGTTCTGCTTTCACAGTTCTTATCTCTCTCTTGAAGTATTTGGGAACACCTTGCTGTGGTTCCATAGTCTCTTGGGAAATCCACAAGGGTTTTCTCCCTTATTAGATGTTGATTTGTCTTCATTTTGTTGCACTATTTATTTGTAGATGTCTGAACTCGTATGATCTGGAAGCCATATTTCCTTCTGTTATTAATATCTTCCCTATTGTTTTACCTGCTTGTGCGCAGAGTCTTTAATGGAATTTCCTTCCTTATGAGATCTTTGGTAATTTCATTCTTTTCTCCCTTATATTCCAATATTGCTTGTTTTCTGACTCCTTCTCTTTGGTGGCCAATTTCCTGGGGCTATACATCGAAGCTATCTCAGCTTCTTCCCACGCTAGGCAATTCACATTTCACTGGCTTCAGTCTCTGTTCCAAGTGACTTCTGGGTGGAGGCAGGACTGACCTCAGCTGGATGCCAGTCCCCTTTGCTTCAGACCTGGTGAAACCTCAAACAAGCTTCATTCTATTTCATTGCCTTCTGTTCTTCAACTCCCTGCATAATTACTGCTTTGGTACGAATGTTGTCATTCTGCCGTTCTAGCCAGAGCAAGCTTCTGGTTTTTGGTTTTCCACACAGGGAGGTAGAGACAGAGTTTAATTGCTGTAAGCTCTGCCTAGGTCAGCTTGTGAAGCCCTTCCAGAGAGGGGTAACTGGTGTGGAAGAAGGTGCTGATTGAGTGAATGAGTTTGAAAGTAGGGATTAGTTTGTCTGTTATTAGTTTATCTGGTTGTTACCTTCTCAGGCTTCTTGGTGTCTTAGACCAGTATTAGACTCAAATAGAAATGGGGGCTACTAAACCATACCTAAGGATCCCATTCTATTTTTATTTATTTTGTTAAACATTTTCCAATTATATTTTAATCTGGTTTGGGAATTTTGTGTGCTGCATGTTGAAACTGCTTTATCTCTTGTGCATACATAATTCTTATGTTGGAGATATTTGCAATGTCTGAGAAACAGTGTATAATCCTCCGTCTCATTGGTTCTGTGACCAATATCAATAAAAATCAGAAACTGTAAAATAAATGTAGTTGGAAATAATAGTTTAGCAATTTATAAGACTATTTGCATTAACTATGCTGGTTTTATTTCTGGTGGGACGATAGAGAAACTGTGTAAAAAGAGTCACAAGCATTGGATGCCATTGACATTGTAAGCTTTTGTTTTTTTCTTGCAGGGAAAAAATAGGTGCAGCAAATAATTGGATTAATTCATCTATTTATATTTGGCAGAATGAAAACCAAGTGGGTGCAGGTCATCGCCTACTCCAAGTTTCCCAGGGTGTGGGAAAAACCTCACTCCAGGAGTTTCAGAACGTGAAGGAATTGGAACGTGTGGCATGTGTTGGTGCTCACTAAGGAATGTGACCCCTCTTGCATTCCTTAGACACATACCAAATACCCATGGCCTTCCTCTTTTTCCCCAGTTTGCTCTCATATTCATGCTTCAGAGCCACAGCAACCTGCATGGCCATAACATGGGAAATGATTGTTATTGTGATAGAACAGACACTTTACTTGTTTCTCAAGTAGGGTGTAATTGATGAGTTTCTGATAGACCCTGAGGAGAAAAAACCATTTAAATAAGTAGCTACACCCACAAAGTCTAACAACTAGTTTTGACTGATTACTATAAAGTTTTGAGGGCATTAGGGAGGCAGCATGGTATGGTGGAAAGAAAATTGATTCTGAAGTCAGAAGATGTAGTAGGTTCAGATCCTACCTCTGTGTTGTCTTGGAAAAATCACAACCTCCTTGAGCCTCAGTTTTCTCATCTGTAAAATGAGGGCATTAGACTAGGGGGCCAATGAAGTCCCTTTCTGTTCTAGATTTATTATTCTGAGAAAAATCTCTGTGAAGGGCCAGTCCGAATTGGCTCCTTAGAAATATAATTCTAAAAATGGTAATGCTGTACCTATAATATAGATAATTTTACTGGCCTACCATTAGTAAGACATTTGCTTTGAGTGGGTTTTCTATTAGGGATGGTGGGTTTTTATCAAACCATTCACATTTTTTCCATTTCTTCCTTCTCTTTTCATTTGTTTTCTTTTCTTTCTTCCCTCTTTCCCTTTCTCTATCTTTTCTTCTTTCCTTCTGTCCTTCCCTTCCCCTTCCTCTTCCCCTTCCCCTTTTCCTTTCCTGTCCCGTCCTATTTTTATTTAACTTTTGCAAGATGACTTTTTGGATTTAGTTTATAAGCTATGACCAAAGAAAGCTAAAATGTCTGTACAAGGCTTTTAACTCACAGACCAATGATATCATAGTTCTGTCAACCTGGAACTACCTTGGTGATCATCATTGACCAAAAGAGCTACTTGACACTTGTCTTGTGGAGTCTAGCATAATAGCACACTCTAATACAGAAAACAGAAGCTTAGAAGAGCCATTTGTCCAAAGACCAGTGACCTGAGTATCCCCACCGGAGTCTCATAGCACTGTACCTGACTGAGTTAGCTAGCCACAGACTTCCAAAATAAAGTAGAACCAAAAATAGAACAATTAAAAAAAAAACCTCAGAAACACTTTTGTTTGGATAATTTAAAGGAGG